AGCCAAACTTTTTGGGTCATCTTTAAGAAACTAACACATTGGCAATTGAACTTTACACGGAAAAAAAAAAAGATCAACTCAGTCTCAGACACAAGATGGAGGAGAGGACTTAAATACCTAATACTTGACAGCACCAAACTGTTCCGCAAAGATACCCTAAGGCCATCAGGATTTATTTATAATTTGGCATGTGTTGGTTGAAGGGGCGATAGGGCCTGGACCTAAAATTCACTATTGTAAAGATATAATACATCAAGGAAGTAGACAAATGGTAGACATATATACCACATTTAAGACTCAGGTACAACACCTTGCTGACTCCAAAGGAAAATTCTAGAGGGAAAAGATAATCAGAAAAGAACTATGAAGAAGCAGTCACTGTAAAGGTGACCCAATGATATCTACCAGCAGGACCTCCAGTCTTTCACCTCCACAGGAGTGATCTAAAAATTGTAATTACCACACTTACATTTGGGGCCTGCTCTCCTTCCCAAGTACAGTGATGCCCCTGACATTTTTGTTTCATTCACTTGCTATTGGATGACTAAGTTGTCATCAGCTTTAAAGACTGTCCTGTTATATTTTAATTAGTTAACACGGCAGAGGCTGCTCCCTCTGTGAAAACAGACAAGCCTCACAAAATAATTTGATCAAGTAAAGATGAACTGTAGGGGAATAAAGGGAAAGCTTCCTGGATTTGCTTCCAAAACCTTTTCTCTCACTTGAAAAATGGTGCAATCACCTAATGTTTTGTTTCAGAAAAAAGAAAGCAAAACTGGTTGAGACAACACCCACATTCTCGTTGTTTACTAGCATGGTACAAAAGGAATTCATAGATGCTGGTCAATCATTTCTCAAAAACCAAATGTGAGTATTTAATCTTGTAACTTAAGAGCTTAATGTTTCCACGTTCCTTTATACAGAGTTAGCATCTGTAAATTGAGACTCTTTTTGGACAATCATGCAAATTTAATTTGTCCCTGGAAACAAAAACACAACCTACCAGATTCACAAAATGTGTCCTGTAGACAATATTTTTACTGTGATTTTTCCTCCACTGTTACCATTTTTATCCTTCCCTAAACAAACTAATCTTAAGTTTATGTATTTTGAGTTTACAAAGAGCCAACTCAGGACGACAGCATCAAGTCACCCTATTTTAACTTCTGACCTAACTCCACTCTTCAAAAATAAATTCTAAAAACAATTGTGAACAATTAATATCAAGTTATATAACTGAGAGACAGTTCGACTGCCATAGATGCTCCTGTAAAGCTGAATAAAGATTTTATTGCACCACATACACAAAAAGCATTTTGTACAGAAAAGGCAGTTTTGGGTTATTCTGCTGAGAATTTCTTTCCATGATTTCTCCCATTAAAGTATAGTTTTCAAAGCAACCACCACGACAAAGGAAGCATCTAATTAGTCCATTTTCTTCTGATCCAAGAATGCTGAACATTTACTGTCCCATCTGTGGTTGTATCAGCAGTGTAATGAACACAGTTTATATTACTTAACTATTCTTTGAACTCCAAGAACTGTTGAAGTCTTTTCTGATGTTCTGCAGATGCCTGCACAGCACTAAATGAAACATAAATGCAAAGCATAAGCTTTATTTTACATTAAGCATATTAAGTGAACCACAGAAAACAGAGTCAATATTTTTCAAAACAATTAAAAATGAATAGAAATCTTCACTTATTTAGTACTTCTGCAAAAGCAGGATGAAAACCTTTTTCAATCTAGTGAAAAGGAGGTTTGCATTGGGCAAAGGCATGCTTCTACCCTCTGAAAGACCAAAGCAAATTAAGACTGGCAAGTACAGGCATCAACTCTAACCTGCTCTGCTGTGGAACCTGCTGTGCGGAGTTCCAAGCCTTGCAGTAGATTTTCTGGATTTTATTATTTTATTTAAACCAGATTCGAACATGGAGTATTTGAATTGCCTTTAATATAAAATCCTTTAAACTAAAATATTTGGTTAAAACACAATAGAGTCCATTAATCGCTTTCAAAGGTAACAGCTTGGTGCTTTGGATTTACTTTTTCCTTTGAACATACATTACGTTGTGAATGGGAACTAAGTTCTCCTTCCACTCTCCCACCACAACAACATGTTACCGTGACAGAAGGCAGGCAAACGTACCCTAGAACTAGTACATAACTTCTTTTAAACTTTTGGACAAAAATTGAACACAATAAAAATGTTGGGTTTCCAGTTCTTAATTAGTAATATATCATTGATGAATGATAAAATTCCAGATAGCTGAAAGGCCACATTTAAGTATCACATTTTAAGTCTTATTTTAATACCTTTGCTACATATTATCCTAAAATGCCTTGTGATCATCTCTGCTTTCTCATACCACACATCCACCTCTAATGGAACCATTTCTAGGGAGGTTCACAAGGCTGTCACCTAACTAACCAAACAGTGTCCTGCCCCATGACCCTTCCACGAGCAGCTCTAAGCTCTGCCACCAAGAAAATTTTGATGCTATAGGCTGACAGTAAACCAAATTTGCTTAAATTAAGAGCCACTGGGGCTGGTTATGGTGGCTCACACCTGTAACTGCAGCATTCAGGAGGACAAAGCAGGAGGACCACCTTGAGTTCCAGGCCAGCTCAGGCTATACATACACAGTGAGTTTGTGGAAAGACTGAGTTACAGAGTAAGACCTGTCTCAACACAATAGTGTGGACAGGCATGTGGGTCAAAGGACATAAAGCGGAAGATACGTAGGACGAGTAGTCACAAATGAGGACTGTTGTTAATAAAACCACAGTACTGGAATTTTTGTTATATAAGTAGATTTTAGCGGTTCGTGTCAAAGGAAACAAGTAAATGCACAAGGCACTGAGTTCAATATCCAGAACTATGAAAGCATCAAAAAAGTGACTATGTGAGGGGACAGAAAATTAATTTACTTCACCAAAGTAGCCAGCTTACTGTCTGTATGCATTCTATAGCATCATGCGCTCAACCTCAGATACAACCTCAGATACACTCAGGAAAATATATTTTAAAGAAAAAAATAGTAAACAGGTAGTGAGTGTCTCAGGTGAGAAACTGGCTTGGTTTGTTATGACTCTAGAGTTCCCATCTTTTGTACCTGGTTTCAGATGTAGAGCTTTGGGTGAATAATTAGATATTACACAGTAATAACAGTTCTTCTCAGAATACGTAATGTATAGTGGGCTTTTCATATATGTATGGTCCCGTTTTTTTCTATCAACAGCAAACACAACAAAATAGGAGCCTAAATGCCATCATAAAGATTCAAAGCTTAGGGTCCACATAATTCCTGGGGTAAAGCACAGACACTGCAGACAGAACTACAGGGCTAGAGAGATTTGGGCCTGAATTTTGGTTCCATAACTTACTACTTGCATAATGTTGGGCAAGTTGCTTTAACTCATTAGATTATGCATCTACAATCACAGATAGTGATGTAACCGGACATGAAATCTAGATGTTTCAATAATTCCAAATCCAACATTCTTTGCCCCATACCTGTTTCCCTGTGCTCTCTGCTTTTGCTCTATGGGAACACATCTATCTACATGGCTATTTCATTCTCCACTGTCATCATTGAGTGTACTCTGAGCATATCCTATATGCTAATTTGTACCTTGGAGTCAGACCAGTTTTGTAAGTGGGAAGGCCTTATTTCAGGTCCACATTCTAGCATACACTACTGTGCTCTGTGCCTCGGTCGCCACATTTGTATAACAGTACATAGCCATCATGTTGGACGGCACCGGTCTGGATGATAATAAATAATTTTCTGTTTGCCTTTCAACAACTAATGTTTCAATGACACAGGATATCTACAGCTCTTTTGTGTTCTCAGAGCGCCAAAGTACCCTACAAATACTGCCACTGCCTTGTATGGCAGAGGTAAAAGGAAACATGCTGCTTGCCTCTAAAAGCAGGTAGTAAAGGAAGTTGCATTTACTGACTGCATACGAAAAAGCAGAGCAACTTCTCGTGCTTCTAACTCATTTCTAATTATCATAAATATAATCTAGCTGGGAAACTACTATCCTTCATCCTGCCTAGCTAGAACATTTCATAGGAGCAAAGCAGTAAACATCAATGAAACTAAATATAAACAGGCCTGGCATTTGTGGTTTCTCTCTGGTTCAGGCTCTGGAGGTGTTGTGATCTGTCGGTGTTTTTCCAGCATGATTCACAAAGCACCTCAACCTCATTTATGGAATATTCTGCTCACCCACAGACCTAAGTCTTAGTTTCCTGACCAAAATGTAACAAGAGAATTATTTTTAATGTGCTCTTCTGGAAAGCTACGAAAAACTTTTTCCTTTTTTCTCATGTAAGGATTTTTGGTCATTAAAAAGTATATATACAATTATAATCGCTGCTTTTACAACTTTCTATCCCCTCTTCTGTTCTTTGAAAGAAACCCTCAAAGCTAGTGACAAAGAAAAATTTGAGCTATAACTACTAAGTCTAAATCCGAGCTGTTAATCCTCAAAAGTCCCAGAACACTTTGAATATGTACACTTTCACAAGTCTCATTGCTGCTTCTCAGAGGAAAGAAGCTCTCAAAACAGGTTATGACCCTGGTTCTAAACAGGTGCACTTACTTCAGATGTTCACCAAATGTGGTAGTTATTCGATAGATGGCAGTTTTCAGTGAGGCTCTCAAGGCAAATCTTAATGTTTTGTAGGAAGTATCCACAAAGCTTCCTGAAATCCGGGGTGGTTTACTGGAAGCGTGAGGAAGCTTGAAATACTTGTCAACTGCCTAGACCAAGAAAGAAAGGAAAGGAAAGAAAGGAAGGAAGGAAGGAAGGAAGGAAGGAAGGAAGGAAGGAAAAGAAATTAAGCCTAGCTGGGTATGGTGGTGCATGCCTTTAGTCCTAGCACTCAGGAGGCAGAGGCAGGGGGGTTT